TAAAGTTTATATTCAAGAAAACCTCTGCAAACGCTGCTCTATAAACCATACTGTAGTAACCATGCAGTTTTGTTGGTTTCCACGACTTTCGATGGAAGCCACACATTTTTCCGAGTTCCTGTTCAAGAAGGGTCTCAAATTTCAGCAGTGAGAGCTACAAATGGAACTAAAGCCTTCTACACAGACATTCCTGCACATTACACCATTGTGGAATAAAAATCTCATTCCGACTATACTAAATATCTTTGTAATTGTAAGCTGCTATTAATAGAATGGAGAAGAGATGTTTCTGGTTGAAGTGGGTGATTCGAGTGAACTCATTTATGTTCAGAAGAAATAAAGAAGTATGAAAGGTATGAACGAGTGCTGTGTTATTGTTTTTTCTACATCAATAGCCCTTCAGTATCAGTGTGTCACGGATTTAGAATGCCCCTGCGATCACAGCCCACGGGTGCGGAGTTGCCCCGCCCCGAATCGCCCACATCCTTCCTCACACCCTCCGGTCAGCCAGCAGTTATAACCGGAGCCGAGGCCGATGTCCTGGTAGCTTGACAGCTTTACTCTTCCATTCAGTAATCATGTACTGTGGTGGTCTTCTCTATCCACTACTTGCTTATTCCACTAAGCTCCTATGTGGCTCATTCTCATTCTTAGAGATCAGGATTTGTGGCGTTAGGGTTTAAACGCTACGATTCTTTCTAGAAACTGAAAAGATGCCAGTCTCTCTCTCATTGTTTTGATTTTCCGTTCGAATCCTTACGTCGTTGTGACTCATTCGCTAAACAGAAATAAAGTTATTATTGCAGCCATGTCGAACGGCGACTTTGAAAAGGATCCGGGTTTCCCATTCCTTGGTCTCTCACGTGAGGCTCGAGCAGAATCTGCTTCAAGGCCTTTTGATTCCAAGAAGAACGTCTGGGTTCCAGATGCAGAAGATGGTAAGCCTTTTCTATAATGGGTCCTGTTTCATGCTTTTGGCCCGCCGCAGATACATACAGATACGCAGTGAGTTCTGATAACCTTAGACTTTTGGATTCTAAGATTCGAGAACAGGTTTACCTTGTGGTGTGTTGATTAAAGTAATACCGTACCTGACTCCCGATCGCAATAGATTAGTCGCACACGTGGGAATAATTGGCTAATGGGTTCTTTCAGTAGCGAAAGTGCGCTACTGAACCTAACCCCTACTTATACTTGAACTTCTCTTTACATGTGCATGGTATTCAACTACCTCTCCCCCTTTATTGATGTACAGCAGATCTCGGCCTCGAGCCCATTGAAATGGCGCTTTCTTATGTGGAATAAGGCCTAGGCCCTAAAGATAGGGATCCGTATCAGCCTTCGGTTCTCCTTGTTTCAAGCCGAAAACAGCGCTCTCAAAAAAGTTGCGAGAACTGTCTAGAAGTCAGGCGCATTGTACTGGTGGCGCGGTGACGCAGTTCAGCTGTTTTTCAACTTCCGCTCGAAAAACATAAGAGGCTGTTGATCGTGAAATATCGGCTGTAAGCCACATGGTCACGAGAATCATCAGCTTTGTTACGACAAGTGCTTATCACCCCTGTTTTTGCTGGACAACACTTTCCGCTCCCACCAATGAACCCACCAACGAGCGGTGGATCAAGCAGAACTATAAATGCACTTTCGATACCCTTACAGCTGTTAGATGGCATGCTAAAGAACCCCGAGCCCATCAAGTGCTGAGCATCTGGAGTCTGGACCCGCGCGATAGAAATAGCTCGAAATCACGAACCCCAGCTTGCGTACAGAACGCGTCGCACTGGAATGCGGTCATGACCGGCGGTCTGTTTATGAGTCGAGCTATCCGTCGATCGTTTTCATTCTAAGAATAATCGCTTCAGCCTAAGCAGCACCAATGGCTGTGCCGGCGCGCCCTCTCGCACTCTACCCCCTTGCTTATAAAAACCGCGTTGTACACCACATCGCGTAGGCGCTGTTGGCATTGTAATCTCACCAACTGGCCGAGAGCTCACAGCCACGACGATCCATTCAAATCGAAAGCAGCAAATTCATTGATTAGACACCAACATCGTAATGCCCTCAGTGCTAGCACCAAAGGGAAATAGTGAAAAAGTGAACCTTCCCGCTGCTCAGGGTAGATGAAAGCCAATCAAGTTATTTTAAGGCTTCGTCGCCGCCGAAATTCAATCCGTACAAGGCGATCAAGTCACTGTCGTCACCGCGAAAGGAAACTCGGTAAGCACTTTTCGATCTTTCATCTACAGGGGAAGCTGATCCCATCAACAAGTGACAACAACAAACGGGAGATGCAGTCAGCTGATGTGAAGGGGGTAGAAAGAACGAAGGCTGACTTTTCAGTGTGATGGATGTTGACGTTCGTGCTCAGAGCACAGAACTCGTGCACTTCTTGCTTGCCATGTGACAAACCTCACATAAGATTCGGACGATTTGGGGGGTAAAAACGGAACCGAACGCGTTTCTGTTATTGGTCACCTCTTCGCTCGCGGCATATGTTCCCCGAAAAACCCTTGGCTGCGATCGGCCACCTGCGAACGGCACCAGCTTTAAACTTCAAGCTGCAGGGTCAAGGGAAGTGGAAAAGCGACAACTATTCCTGCAGTGCCTCTATGATCACGTATTGGGACAAATAGTTGGTGGGTAAACATGATGGGGTCGAGTAAAGGGAGGAAAGAATGACAAGAACAGAACCAGTAATGAGGGTAGTAGTATGGACCGGGATAAAAAAGCGAAATGACTTTAACCATCTGCGCAACAAACATCTGCGTTGAGTATAACGATCATGAGGCCCAGTTCAGCGACGGGGGTGAGGGGGGGGGCATAGTGCACTTATATCCCGTCGACGTGTGCCACCAAGGTGAGGCTACTGAACCCAGTCAAAATTTGTGAAAACCAACTGCTTCACACACTTGCAAAACGGAAACGGTGGAGCAGAGAAAGTGCAAAATGTCTCCCCCCCCTCAACGCCAAATAGCGCTCGATCATAACAACACAGCGGTAACAAACGTGATGAACACTTTTAAGGTCACTGTGAAAAAGGATGAGGCGCAAGAGATGAACCCTCCCAAATTCGACAAAACCGAAGATATGGCGAACTTGACCTTCTTGAACGAAGCTTCAGTCTTGGCCAATCTCAAGGACAGATACAAGGACATGATGATCTACGTGAGTAACTCCGAGTGAAATGAAAATGGCCCTCAATCATAGGCTCTCGTTCTAGACATATTCCGGTCTCTTCTGTGTTGTGATCAATCCCTACAAACGTCTACCCATCTACACAGAATCCGTGATTAAATTCTACATGGGAAAGAGAAGGAACGAAATGCCTCCCCACTTGTTCGCCACTTCCGATGAGGCTTACAGAAACATGGTGCAAGGTGCGTTCACAAAGAGGACCTTCTATTCGAAATGCAGAATTCAACTAGTAATAATTTCAGACCGTGAGAACCAGTCTATGCTGATTACCGGAGAATCCGGAGCCGGAAAAACTGAGAACACCAAAAAGGTTGGATTCTCAATGCGTTAGGCACAAACTAGCGAAAACTATTGGGTAAATTACAGGTAATTGCGTACTTCGCCATCGTCGGTGCCACACAACAGGCTGCCGAAGGACGAAAGGAGGGCGCTAAAGGTGTAAGTACTAAAGGCGGAAAAGGAGTAAGTATAAGAAATATAAAGGGGGGTGGGAGCTCTTAAAGCTGAGGAACTTCGAATTATGTCACTCAGGGACTTTGCAATAATTGCCTTTGCAGGGTACCCTGGAAGAGCAGATTGTGCAGACCAACCCCGTACTCGAGGCCTTCGGTTAGTATTGTCACTCTCATTGACCACATATCAGAAATCCGTGCAACTATGAGCGATTCTCCCTTTAGGTAATGCCAAAACCGTGCGTAACAACAACTCTTCACGTTTCGGTAAATTCATCCGAACCCACTTCTCAGCCCAAGGAAAACTGGCCGGAGGAGATATCGAACACTGTAGGTTCAGAAGACTAGAGCATGACTGAGTGAGGGCTACACTGATAGAAGTGCCTTAGATTTGCTCGAGAAGTCTCGTGTCGTGCGTCAAGCTCCTGGAGAACGTAGTTACCACATCTTCTACCAGATTATGTCCGGCCACAACCCGAAACTCCGTGGTAAGTTGGGTTTCCGAAAAGTGAATCGCTTCTGGGAATGAGATCTCTGAGAGCACTGTCTTTCAGAAGCGTTGAAGCTCACCCACGACCTCAAATACTACCACTTCTGTTCACAAGCTGAGCTGACCATTGACGGTGTCGATGATAAGGAAGAAATGGGTCTCACACAGGTACAGAAGGAGTTGTAGTTTGAGCTGTCAAAGAATAATCTCATGGTTTGTAGGAAGCTTTCGACGTCATGGGTTTCGAAGACGATGAAGTCATGGACTTGTACAAATCTTGTGCGGCCATCATGCACATGGGTGAAATGAAATTCAAGCAGAGACCCAGAGAAGAGCAGGCCGAACCCGATGGAGATGAGGGTATGTACGCCTGTCGTTGACAAGAAACAAGAAGCGCTGTTGCGGTGCTTCATAGTTCAAACTGACACTGATGGAATGATTTCAGATGCACAAAACGTCGCCCACTGCTTGGGTGTGAACCCTGAGGAGCTTCTGAAGTCCTTGGTGAAGCCTCGTGTACGTGTCGGTACTGAATGGGTGAACAAGGGACAGAATCTTGAGCAGGTTTGTTGCGGAAACCTTTGAAATCCCTGTAAGACCCTAGTCCAAGAAATCAGTACTGAACTGTTCAGGTACACTGGGCTGTGTCTGGTCTCGGAAAGGCTATCTACGCTCGTATGTTCAAATGGCTCATCGGAAGGTATGAAGTTAAGTACACTACGGTGGCTACATTTCAAAATAAGGCATGTTCAGATGTAACAAGACCCTGGATGCCAAAGAAATCGAAGCGTCGCTACTTCATCGGTGTGCTTGATATTGCTGGTTTCGAAATCTTCGATTTCAACTCATTCGAGCAGCTTGTGGATTAACTTCGTAAACGAACGTCTGCAACAATTCTTCAACCATCACATGTTCGTTCTTGGAACAGGAAGAGTACGCTCGTGAAGGCATCCAATGGACTTTCATCGATTTCGGTCTTGACTTGCAAGCCTGTATCGAGCTGATTGAGAAGGTAAGACCCAGCGCTTTAGCGGTACAGTACCCCGAGTTTTAAGGTAGTAGTCTGTAACATTCAATTAAAAAATGTGCTTTTTTCAGCCCCTTGGTCTTATCTCAATGCTTGATGAAGAGTGTATCGTACCAAAAGCCACCGATATGACATACGTACAAAAGCTGAACGACCAACATCTTGGCAAGCACCCCAACTTCCAGAAGCCAAGACCACCCAAGGGCAAACAGGTACTAGACATTTGGGAAAAGCAACCATGACACCTGGACTTAACTCTTCATTTCAGTCCGAGGCTCACTTCGCAGTCGTCCACTACGCCGGTACTGTACGATACAATGCTACCAACTTCCTCGAGAAGAACAAGGTATGTCGCCATAGTGAAGCTATTTGGAAATTCGAAAGCCTAAATTTGCCTTCAGGATCCTCTGAACGACACCGCTGTTGCACTGCTCAAGACTCACTCGCAAGGATGCAAACTCATGCTCGACATCTGGGCTGACTACCAGACCCAGGAAGAAGCCGCTGAAGCCGCAAAGAGTGGAACAGGAGGAGGAAAGAAGAAGGTTAGCGCCCTTCTCCGCTTTTCTGTTGAAGGAAAAGTCCTGCTAATTCTGCTTTTCAGGGAAAGTCTGCCTCTTTCATGACTGTGTCCATGATTTACCGCGAGTCCCTGAACAACTTGATGAACATGCTTTACCAGACTCATCCTCACTTCATCCGTTGCATCATTCCAAACGAGAAGAAGACTTCTGGTTAGCCTTGTGGACTGTTACCAAAAAGCCATGGACTATTATACCGTACTTTCAGGTCTGATCGACTCCGCTCTCGTGCTTAACCAGCTGACTTGCAACGGTGTACTTGAGGGTATCAGAATTTGCAGAAAAGGTTTCCCCAACAGAATGCTCTACGATGACTTCAGACACCGGTATTTGCCCTATTTTGATATGCCCTCGATGATTCCGGGCCAAATAAATAAAATCCAGATACGCTGTCCTTGCTGCTGATGCGGCCAAGAACGAGGATACCAAAGTGGCATCCATTGCCATCACGGACAAACTCGTCACTGAAGGTCTTCTGAAGGACGAAGAATTCAAGATCGGAAACACCAAGGTACAGAGCTCTTCACCGTCGTGTTTGGTATATGTGGCTGACCAGAGTGATCTTGCAGGTATTCTTCAAAGCTGGTATCCTTGCCAGACTTGAGGACCGTCGTGACGAAATCCTCAAGGTCATCATGACCAACTTCCAAAGCAGATGCAGGTGAGCTAATCATTTAGCACTTTGAGAGTATTCCTTATGACATGCTTTTAAGATGGTACCTCGGACTCACGGATCTCAAGAGAAGGCAGCAACAACAAGCAGGTAGGTTCACTTTGAGGGAGGCTCAACTTTTTTACGGAAGAAAAGCTGTTATCCCTTTTCAGGACTGCTCATTGTCCAGCGCAACGTCCGCTCATGGTGCACCCTTCGCACTTGGGAATGGTTCAAACTGTACGGAAAGGTTTGTCGTTAGTCATACTTTTGGAGGGTTCCGAATAGAAAAGTAAACTGAAGACGGAGTATCGCGTTTCATCACGATACCAGAGCAAGGTTTGTGTTCCAGGTCAAGCCTATGCTCAAGGCCGGAAAGGAGGCAGAGGAGATGGAGAAATTGTCAGACAAGATCAAACAGCTCGAGGAAGCCATCGCCAAGGGTGAAGACAACAGGAAGGAACTCGAAGCCCAAGTAAGTTGTCCTCTTCGTTGATCACCGACGCCCTTACAGCGCGCAGCAAGGCCTCGCGAGCGGTCTTTTTGTGATATTCTCAGATTGCAATTCATTTCTAGGTGGCCGGCCTCATCGAAGAGAAGAATGCGCTGTTCCTGAACTTGGAAAAGGAGAAGGCAAACCTACAGGATGCCGAAGAACGCAATCAAAAACTGGCCGCCCTCAAGGCTGACCTCGACAAACAACTCGCTGAAGTTCAGGTATACAAACCGTAATCGATTAGATCAACTACTTGAACCCGAAACTCTGTGAAATACTCACAAGAGTTTCTGTCAATATTGAACAGATCCACTGAAATTTATCAGCCATCATTTATCACACTCGATAATGCACTCTCTTATGCAGGATCGCCTTGCTGAAATGGAGGATCGTAACAGCGACCTCCAACGCCTCAAGAAGAAGATGGAGCAAGAAATTGCCGAGCACAAGAAGCATGCCCAAGATCTCGAGCTTTCCCTCAAGAAGGCCGAGAGCGAGAAGCAGGTGAGCCTTAGAAGATGACCCCTTCCTCGGGGACACTCGGCGAACTAAGAATATCTCACTGAAATTTAGGCTCGAGACCACAACATCCGCTCTCTGCAAGATGAAATGGCTAACCAAGATGAAGCCGTCGCTCGCCTCAACAAAGAGAAGAAACATCAAGAGGAGGTATGGTTCTCATCGAAAATGATATCGATCTGATCAAAATGAGCGGCACTGTAGGTGAACCGCAAAGCTCATGGAGGATCTCCAAGCCGAGGAAGATCGTGTCAACCACATGGAGAAGGTTCGAGCCAAGCTCGAGCAACAGTTGGATGACCTTGAGGATTCGATGGACCGCGAGAAGCGAGCCCGACAAGACCTCGAAAAGTGGGAACTGTTTTATGGATATCATTTATAGCCTGAAAAGTTTGTAAAAGTATGAATATTTAGATCCAAGCGAAAGGTTGAGGGAGAGCTCAAGGTTGCCCAAGAGAACATCGATGAGATCACCAAGCAGAAGCACGATGTTGAGCAGAACCTGAAGAAGAAGGAAGCCGAACTCCATCAGCTCTCAACCCGTTTGGAAGAGGAACAATCTCTCGTTGCCAAGTTGCAGAGACAGATCAAGGAATTGCAAGCCCGCATTGCTGAGCTCGAAGAGGAACTCGAGAACGAGCGCCAAAGCCGAGCGAAGGCTGATCGTTCTCGATCGGAGTTGCAACGCGAGCTTGAAGAAATCAGTGAGCGACTTGAGGAGCAAGGTGGTGCCACTGCTGCTCAACTCGAGGCCAACAAGAAGAGGGAAGCTGAGTTGGCTAAACTGCGCCGTGATCAGGAGGTGGGTTGCTTCTTACAGGAGTAGGTACAAAGCCTTAACCAAATGCTTTCAGGAATCCAATCTCAACCACGAAACAGCTTTGGCCTCCCTTCGCAAGAAGCACCACGATGCTGTGGCTGAGCTCACCGACCAGCTCGAGCAACTGCAGAAGCTCAAGGTGAAGGCCGATAAGGAGAAGGCTCAATTGCAACGAGAATTGGAAGAAGTCTCAGCGTCAGTAGACAGCGAGGTAAGAGGAGTAGCTTCGGAAAACGTACGACACACTAGTGACGGAATTTAGGTCCGAACCCGTCAAGACATCGAAAAGCAGCTCAAAGTCGTCGAAGTCCAATACGCCGAGGCTCAAACGAAGGCCGATGAGCAATCACGACAGCTCAACGACTTCGCTGCCCTCAAGGTAAGCGGAGAAACTTACTGGCTACGAGAGATGGTTATAGGGGATAAGCAATACATGAAATCTCGCCCTTCAGAACCGACTCCATAACGAGAATGGCGACCTCGGCCGTCAATTGGAAGACATGGAGAATCAGTTGAATAGCCTTCACCGCCTCAAGGCACAATTAACCAGCCAGCTTGAGGAGACGAAACGAAGCTACGACGAGGAAGCTCGGTGAGTTTCATTCAAAGAGTGCTGCTGCTCAGCCGACTGCGCCTCGAACCGTCCCTGGAAGGAACTTCTCAGCAAATAATGAATGGTCGTTTTTCAGTGAACGCCAAGCTTTGGCTGCACAAGTCAAGAACTTCGAGCATGAGAACGACAGCCTTCGTGACCAGCTCGACAGCGAATCAGAAGCCAAGGTAGGTAGAAACAAGCCTACCGCATACTGGTACTCAGCTAATTCAGCAATCTCCTTTCAGGCCGAGTTGCTACGACAAATCAGCAAGCAAAATGCCGAAATCCAACAATGGAAAGCACGATTTGAGAGCGAAGGTCTCGCCAAGCTCGACGAAATTGAGGAGGCAAAGTAAGTTTAGTGGGAGATGCTGCTCGACAGGAATTCCGTTCCTGCTCAGGAATAGAAGAAAAGAGAAAGTTTTTCAGGCGCAAGCTCCAGGGCAAGGTTCAGGAGCTAACCGATGCCAACGAAATGGCGTTCGCCAAGATTGGATCTCTCGAAAAGACCCGCCACAAGCTTATGCAAGATCTCGATGACGCTCAGGTAGCGTCTGATAGAACAAGTTTGAGATGAAAATAATCGACGAGCCTTGAAAACATCACGAGTTTAGGTCGATGTTGAGCGCGCCGCCGCCTACGCTGCTGCCCTCGAGAAGAAGCAGAAAGGTTTGTCGCAGCAGTGTTTCTAACCACTTGAAAGTTACTTCGGAACCTGACAATACCTAATTTGCGCAATTCTTCAGGCTTCGACAAGATCATCGATGAATGGAGAAAGAAGCACGATGACCTTGCTGCTGAACTCGATGCTGCTCAACGAGACAACCGCAACCTCTCCACTGATCTCTTCCGCGTAAGCTGACCTTATCGAGAAGTTGAAGCAAATTTCACAGAAAAGTAGTTCCGATTTTTCAGGCCAAGACCGCCCAGGACGAGCTTGCCGAGCACCTTGAGAGCGTGCGCCGCGAGAACAAGCAGCTTGCCCAGGAGGTGAAAGATCTCGCTGACCAACTCGGCGAAGGCGGACGGTTCGTTCTCTGAAGGAAAGCGTTAGCATGAGACTCTGAGTATTCAAGAAGCATCCTATTTCAGCTCCGTCCATGAGCTCCAGAAGATGGTGCGCCGCTTGGAAGTCGAGAAGGAAGAGCTGCAAAAGGCTCTTGACGAGGCTGAGGCAGCACTTGAAGCTGAGGAAGCTAAAGTACTGCGCGCCCAAGTTGAAGTATCTCAAATCCGTTCCGAGATCGAGAAGCGTATCCAGGAGAAAGAGGTACGTTCATAGCATTGTGATAGGTGGTGTGGGGATCACAATGTGACATTTTAGGAAGAATTCGAGAACACTCGCAAGAACCATCAGCGAGCACTCGAAAGCATGCAAGCCACCCTTGAAGCCGAAACCAAGCATAAGGAGGAAGCCCTGCGCATCAAGAAGAAGCTCGAAGCCGATATCAACGAGCTTGAGATCGCTCTTGACCATGCCAACCGCGCCAACGCTGACGCACAAAAGACCATCAAGAAGTACATGGAAACTGTGCGCGAACTGCAACTCCAGGTTGAAGATGAGCAACGACAGAAGGACGAGATCAGGTGAGTGTCACTCTTCGTTGCTAAACATGAAAACCGGCTGCCAAGCAGGTTCTGAGAGCTCATTTTTCAGAGAACAATTCCTCAGCTCCGAGAAACGCAACGCAATGCTCCAGGCCGAAAAGGAAGAGCTTTCACAGATGGTCAGTCTTCTTTCCATGGGAGTAGCACCACAGTTTTTTTACACCTAACGGATAATTGGATGGTTTAGGCGGAAGCCGCAGAACGTGCACGACGAAACGCCGAAGGAGACTGCATCGAACTGCGCGAACAGAACAACGACCTTTCATCGCAACTCAATGGAATCACCGCCGTCAAGAGAAAGCTCGAGGGAGAATTGCAGGCTATGCATGTGAGTTCCATCACTGCCGAGAAAGTACTCTTGAAGAGGATGATCTTTTAATTTCCAGGCCGAACTCGATGAAACCCTGGCTGAACTCAAGAACGTTGACGAGATGGGCAAGAAGGTAAGCTAAAAAACCGCGATGGTTCCGATGGGACAACACCTCGAACATTTGACTTTCAGGCCGCCGCTGATGCTGCTCGCCTGGCCGAAGAACTTCGTCAAGAACAAGAACACAGCATGCACGTCGAACGCATCCGCAAAGGACTTGAGGTTCAGATCAAGGAGATGCAGGTAGGACCCAGCCCAGGATCGCAGGAGTTGGACTTCCATTGAGCTCACTACCGAATTTAATTCAGATCCGCCTCGATGAAGCCGAAGCTGCAGCTCTCAAGGGAGGCAAGAAGATCATTGCCCAACTCGAACAACGAATTCGTAGCCTCGAAACAGAACTTGATGGAGAACAGAGGTTCGTACTGTCAGCGATTAGTACAAAAACCTGGAGACAGCTTGAAAAAAAGCAAGTATTTAGGCGTCACCAGGACACCGACAAGAACTGGCGCAAATCCGAACGCCGTGTCAAGGAGGTCGAATTCCAACTGGAGGAGGACAAGAAGAACCAGGAGAGACTCACCGAGCTCATCGACAAACTTCAGGCCAAGCTCAAGGTGTTCAAGCGACAGGTCGAAGAAGCGGTACGCATAAAAATCTTCTTGCTTTTTGTCCCAACCGCACACGGGAGAAGGAAAGTGGATAATTTCAGGAAGAAGTTGCCGCTACCAATCTTGGCAAATACCGTCAGCTCCAAGCTCAACTCGATGACGCTGAAGAACGTGCCGACATCGCTGAGAACGCGCTGAGCAAAATGCGCAACAAGGTAAGAACTCTTTCGGATCCACAACCAGGCTCCCCACTTAACGCTGATGATTCCAGATCCGTGCGTCGGCCTCTGTGGGACCCGGCCAGGGAGGACTAATGCAGTCAGCCAGCTCGGCTGTCATGCGAAGCACCTCGTTCGCCAGAGGAGGAGACTTCTAAGTCAGCATCCATCAACAGCCGTCTTGCTCGGCTATAACGTCTTCTAATTTTTGCTATTTGCGGTCACTTTAGTGCTCAAGTCGTGTATAGCCGACACCTCTGCTGTTCTGTTTATTTGTTTTCTCCATCAAATTCCATTTCTCCGATATCAAACCATTGTCGTGGAGTACTGTACTTGTCGAAGACTATCATTATAGTCGTACAAGCGCTCTAGTCATTTGTAATATACTCAATAAGCGATACGATAAAAATTTCAAACTGAAGCTGTCTCCTTCTCAGAAACACACAAGAAAAACTTGCGATCTAAACCGCACAGAAACCAAAGGAAGGGTCTATAGCTATCCCCGCTATGACTGTCCCACAGGAAAAGTAACACAAACGAAGATTTCCTTTGCCTCATTTCCTTCTCAGAAAAGCCTCGAAATGGAGGTGTTGTGGAGTCATGGGAGCAGCTCAGCACTTCACGGTCCAGGTGTCGGATCCCAAATCGAATCTCGCCTCGAACCTCAAGCCCTCCACTGCTGAGCCAAAATGGTCAACTTGTACCATACTTTTCGAGAGGATGGAAACACTGGCTCATACATTGGC